CATGACTCAGAGTCCTGTTTATGCCTTACAGTTAATGAGAAGAGAGATATTTTGAAAAAAACAAGCGCGTTGTTTTCTTTGTTTGGCCCCTAAACACAAAATCTCACAGTGCCGGCAACGCCAAACTAAAGTTTGTAAAATTTGCAAAGGTAAACATTCAGAAGCCATATGTTTTAAATCCAGTTCGATAGTTAAAAATACACCAAGTGATAAAAAGGATAGTATATTAATTTCGAAAAATGATACACAAACTAAGGAACAGAAAGAAGAAATTGTTTCGGCCGTTTCACATAATGCAAATAATACAATTCTTTTACAGACTTGCACGATAAAAGTTAAAACAGCTAAGGAAAAGGTGTTTGCCAGACTTCTCTTGGATAGTGGAAGTATGAAAAGTTTTTGTGCTCGCGAGTTAGCGGACAGATTAAACCTCGAAGTCATAAGAAAAGAAAAATTGACTGTCTACACTTTTGGGAATACTTCTCCCATCCAAAAAAATTATGACGTAGTTAAATTAACTTTAGAACATAGAAGTTCTCCCGATTCTAGAATAGAAGTTGAATTATTAGTAACTGATCATATATCAGGTACAGATATTCCACCTCCTAAATCAGAAGAAATTAAGCAAAACAGACAATTAAAAAATTTGCTGCTCGCAGATTTTCCCGATTGTAAAAAACCCATTGCCATTCTAATTGGTGCAGATTATTATTACAACATAGTAATGGGACACGTTAAATACTTAAGCAAAAATCTTGTTGCAGTGGAAACTATTTTCGGCTGGTGCCTACATGGACGAAAAGGTGATGATGATGTCTCTTTAGCTTTCAATGTAGTTGTAGGGGAAGATTTGATTTCCAAACAAATAACAAAATTTTGGGACTTGGAAAACTCAGGACTTATTGATAAGAGGGAAAACTTCGATTCAACTGAAAATGAAGTCGTCGAATATTTCGAATCAAATATAACATATGAAAATTCTCGCTATAAAGTTAGATTGCCTTGGAAACATGACACATCAAATCTAAATAATAATAGGGAAATCGCAGAACAAAGATTTCATCGACTTAGAAAACGATTTTAAAAAAATCCTAATCTATTTTCCGAATACAGGAACGTATTAAGAGATCAGTTAAAACAAAATATTATCGAACCAGTTACAGAAATTTCAAATGAAGAGGATGTCGTGTTTTTACTTGCCACATAGGGAAGTTATACGCGAGGATCGAGCTACAAGTAAATTACGTATTGTTTATGATGCATCATCGCATGCCCCAGGATCCATTTCTTTAAATGACTGTCTACATGTTGGGCCAAATTTATACCCTGAAATATTCGAAATATTGTTAAGATTTCGGTATAATCTAATAGCCTTCACCGCAGATATAAAACAAGCCTTTTTACAGATTCTCATACATGAAAAAGATCGAGACGCAACCAGGTTTCTGTTTTCCGATTTCCCTAATGATGAAACCATTTCTCCTGACATATATAGGTTCACTAGAGTTTTATTCGGAATAAATAGTAGTCCATTTCTATTAGCCGCTACCATTAAACATCATCTGAAAAAATATAATAAACTTTATCCTACAACGGTTAACTTTTTGAATGAGAACGTATATGTAGATGATGTGATTGGAAGCCAACCAACGATCAATGAAGCATTAACTACGAGTCTAGAATCGGTCCAAATATTTAAGGAAGCAAGCATGCAGCTTCACAAATGGCATAGTAACTCGAGACAATTACATGAATTGTGGGTAAAAAGGGTATCGTTCCAGATGAAAATCCTGAAGATTTTAATAGAGAAAATTTCCCATTTAAAGTCTTAGGTATGGCATGGGATAATTCAAAGGACTTACTGTATTTTGATGTTCGGAACTTATTGTCTTTCACATCTAAACCAATAGAAACAAAACGATTTCTTCTACAAGTGTTGGGTCGGATATTCGATCCGATTGGAATTTTAGGACCTTTCACTGTTAGAATAAAGTGCTTAATACAGAAGATTTGGTTGTCACAAATAGATTGGGATGAACCGTTACCTGAAGATTTGTCCTCTGAATGGAGAAAGAAAGTGGTGTGAAGAGCTACCTCAAATGGCTGAATTCTCCATCTCTCGTTACCTTTTCATGCACTCGAACATTAATGTCGAAAATCTCGAACTACATTGCTTTTCAGATGCAAGTGTCAAAGCCTATGGTACAGTCGCATATTTACGTTTCACGACAGAAATAAAAAGAAATCAAAACGGCCTTTGTCTCTTCTAAAAATAGGGTAGCCCCACTAAAATCCCTTACTTTACCGAGGTTAGAATTAATGGGGGCATTGTTATCAGTTAAGTTAGTCAGCAATATTCTGAAAGCACTGAAATTGAGAATTCCGTGCTATTTTTGGACAGACTCAACAATTACTTATTTTTGGATCCAGAAACAACCTGAAGCCTTCAAACCCTTTGTCAGGAATCGTGTCGAAGAAATACAAAAATTGAGTTCACCTCAAGATTGGCATTATTGCCCAGGTGTCGACAACCCTGCAGATCTCGTATCTCGGGGAACGAAGATTTCCAAGTTAATAAATGAGACCATTTGGACGCAAGGTCCCCAATGGCTTCAACTCCCTCACGAACTTTGGCCAAGATTAGATATTAAAGAAACAATAGATGAAAACAAGCTGGAATACCGAAAGAGATCCGGTGATATACATCAACTTGAATGTACAATCGAAAAAAGTGCAGATGATCTTTTCGACATATCAAAATATAGCAAATTAGAGAAGGTGTTAAGAGTCACTGCTTGACAACACGTTTCATTAGAAAATTAAGAAAAACTAGCGACATTCAAGGAACTCTCACAGCTGAAGAGTTACAAGAAGCAGAAAATTTCTGGATAAGATCAGAGCAAAAGAAGTTTTTTGCCGAAGAATATAAATCCCTCAAAGAAGGTAATTCGGTTGGAAAAAATTCTCCTTTGTATAATTTTCTTCCTTACATTGATGAAAAGGAAATCATGAGGTTGAGAGGAAGACTGGAATTTTCTGACTTCTCACTAGATAATAAACATCCAATAATCTTACCTAAAAATTCTCGACTAACGATTCTGATTGTATGCAAAGAACATGAGAAGATAATGCATGGAGGAATTGCTGCGACTTTAGCTAAAGTCAGATCACGCTTCTGGATTCCTAAAGGACGACAGTTAGTAGTCAAAAAAGCATTAAAAGGTTGTATAATTTGCCAAAAATATTTAGCTAAACCAGCAGACCAGATGACAGCACCCTTACCAAAGGATAGAATCCAAGAATCGCCTCCATTTGCAGTCTGTGGAATTGATTTCGCCGGACCAGTTTACGTAAAGAATTCTAAAGACATTCGAAAATCCTATATTGTTTTGTTCGTTTGTGCAGTAACCCGAGCTGTACACTTAGAACTTGTATCAGATATGTCAACAGAATCCTTTTTACTTGCATTTCGCAGATTTTTGAGCAGAAGAGGAAACTGCGTAATCATCTACTCTGACAACGCCAAGACCTTTAAGAGGACAAAGAAAGAACTTGAGAATTTTTCAAAAGTTTTAAAAGATGACAAATTCAAGAATTTCATTGCCAAAGAAAGAATCCATTGGAAATTTATAATCGAACGAGCCCCATGGTGGGGAGGGTTTTATGAGAGACTTGTTAGATCTGTTAAAGAATGTTTAAGAAAAATCGTAGGAAAAGCATTGTTGACTTTCGAAGAAATGTCTACACTACTTGTCGAAGTGGAGTCAGTTCTTAATTCACGACCTCTAAGTTACGTTTACAACGACAATGACGAGCCGCAACCGTTGACTCCAATACACTTCTTAAACATTGGACAAACTGATTTGAAGTATCCTTTGACCTTTGCTAAAATCATCGGTACCGAAACGACAAGAGAAACGCTGTTAAAAAGAAAGCGTTATCAAGAATTGCTGTTAAAACAGTTGTGGTGGAAATGGAAGCAACAATATTTATTAGATCTTAGAACTGCCCATTTCTTGAAGAATCTGCAACTTCAACCAGAACTAAAAGTAGGAGATGTTGTTTTAGTCGAAGGAGATAATAAAAACAAACTCTTATGGAAACTTGGTAGAATCATAAAAATTATTCCTGGACGTGATGGTAAAGTCCGATCATTCGAATTAAAAACTGGTAATGGGACTTTAAAACGTACTGTTCAACATCTATATCCTCTTGAACTTTAGATATTTTGAACTTTAACGATTTAGTTATGCTTTTTTCCTTTTTTTGTCTATTAATGATTAAATTGAATATCGTTAGTTAAGTTTGTTCAGTTAAGTGGAAAATATTTTAAAATTTAGTTCATTTATTAGTTATAACATTTATTATTTGATACATGAAGTGTATAACCTGTATTGGAATTGAAGTGTTTGACTAATTAGTATTTTTTAATATTTTTATAGAATAGTGATTTATGTACTTGATTGTATGTATAACTGAGTTAGATGAACTCTTGTCAGAGTTCAGGTGGGGAGTGTGTTAAGGAATATTCTTTGATATTGCCAAGAGATGGCGTTAGGAGTCCATCTATTGGCTTACTTAACCTCTCCCCTTCTGAACACGTGACGTGAAAAAATATTCTTCTTGTTGAAGGTAGAATTTCGATGCACTACGCAATAGAATTCGATTTAGATTTTAGCTGGAACTATTCAGTTCTTGCCTTTTGAGCATTAAATATTCGATTCAGGCATTTTAGCCTACATTGTATATATGTAAATATTAAGTTTAATTAAGATTTATGGGAAACCCTCCAGGCCAAGCATCTCGTCTTTTGGATTATGAGTGATTCGACTTTGATCTAGAACTTTCGTTACAGAGGTGTGAATTAAAGTCGTAAAGATGAGGTACTTCATTTAATTTCAGACAGTATTACATGAATGTCATTATACAAACTCGACCTGATGGGATATAACACATTCTTTTGGAAATGTTATTTAAATATGGTTTTGGAAACACATTGATGTTGTATTAAAAGAATTTTAATTTATTTTCAGGTACATTCCTGTGAAACTAGCTTACAAAACCATCGAGCCTGTCAGTGGTGCCGGAGATAAATCGCCGATTATTTTCTTACATGGCGTTGTAACTTCCAAAGAATATTGGAGTAATATCCCTCAAACCGTTGCCAACGCTTCGAAACGGACGGTGAGAAAAATTAATTCAAGTTTATGAATTAAGAATACCATACTAAATTACCCAATTGCCTAAGTTTCAAATGTAAACAAATATGGCTGCTATAGAAAAAAAAAAAAAAAAAAAATTCTTAACTGCATTTAAACAACTTTTAATTGTTGATAATTCTACAACTGTTGCGTAGAAGTTAACTAAACGCATAAAAACCTTAACCGGAAGATAAAAAACAACATAATTCAATCATTTTTAAAGCAAAAAATGCACAATTTACCTACATATAAGAATGAAAAAAACTGAGCCTTTTGAGCTGAGTAACAGAGTGGGTGTATATATATATATAAAATACATTTGGTGCGGCCGATTACCACCAAAAAAGAGAGGTGCACAACTGCATACTATAGCAGTTCTATATACAAAATTTCAACGTTCTAAGGCTACTCGTTTTTGAGTTATGCGAGATACATACTACATACAGACGCCACGAAAAATTCTCTTTTGAATCCATTTTAACTTTGTTTTATAATTCGTTTTGGGAAAAAGTGTCCTTTAATCTGTTCATATGTACAGATGTCACGCAAAAACCTCGTTAAATTGCATTCAATAGCGGTCAAAATGGATATTTTCGTTGAAATATGATACCCGGAATTTTTCGTTATTACAATGCTTTTTTTACTTCGCACAAGGAAGTAAAATCTTAACTCGACAGCTATTGTGTTTTACTGCGTAATTGTCAGGATATATTAAAATACTAACTTGCTTGTTAAAAATGAAGCTCCTGAAAATGCGTGTAGTTATGACAAAATACTTAGCAAACGAGTCCAAAACCGACTTTTTCTTATAACATAGTTAAAGCTAAATTAGAAAAATCAACTGCAATTATTAAAATTTGACATATTTAATTTCGTTTAAAATAAATTAATGTTCTTTTCTCAAAAAAAAAAAAAAAAAAAAAAAAAAAAAAAAGATTTGCGACATACTGATGTGTGTTAATGCATGGAGTTTATCTAACGAAAATTTAAACCCTTCAAAACACTTCAAATTCTCTTTAAAAATATTCATATGATACATTGGATGTTTGCTGTTTTGCTATAAATCTGACTAAGAAGCATACTTATTCGAAAACTTATCCTTACAAAGTTAATTAATATTAAAATAATTATTATTCAGTTTCACCGATAGAGGGCGTTTAAAGTCATATTGTTACGAAATGTACAAGCGCGGTAAGATAGCTTCCCCGCAAAGCAATTTTAGGTTTGCCATAAAATGGCAACGGAAGGCAGGGTTGCTACATTTGGCGAAAAATCGCCCATTTGGCGACAAAATTGGTGGTCTGCCATGGACGGATGGAGAACCTTCTGGTTTAGCCCAGAATGTTCTCGAACACCAGCCGAAAGCTATATAAACCCTGCTGGTACGCGGAGAGGTGTGTGTGTGCCTCGTCTATAGTGCGATTTAGTTAGTATCGAGTTGGTGTCTCGTCTAGCGAGTCAATCCCTGCGGAGTCGATCGAGTTGACAGCCGGGCAGCGAGTGTCGAGTGGGTCGTTAAGTTCATCGAAGGAGTCTGTGTGTCGTAGAGTGCATCGCGAGTTGTAGCGTGGAGAGTCGCTTGAGTACGTGGAGTTCCGAGAACGACCAAGCAGAGTCGGGAGCTGTACTCTAGTGCTTTGCCGTGAAGCTGTCTCCACCGTGGTAGCCTGATAACCTGGAGGCTGTGTCGCTGATCGTGTAGCGTGTTTATAGTAGTTCATCGACGACTGTAAACGTGTTTTGGAGCTGTCCTGACAATACTGACCAATAAAGTGTGTTTCGATATTTCATCAAGTAGTGTCGTCGTTAGTCACTCCAAATCCACACGAACCCCGTAACGTAACGTAAAGAAGAAGAGAAAACAACGTAACAATATTTTTCTCTTACCCTGCATTGACAACCAGAGATAAGGTTTCGTAATATAATCCTTTTTAATTTGATTAGTTCCTCTTTCTCTTCTAAAAATAGTAACTTGTTTACTAACAACGCTTTCTGAAGGCCGTCATTTCAAAATTAATTTATGTCATATAATTCTTTTATAACTTAAGGTCGCATGTCTCTAAATAACGGCAAAAGTGAAAGTAAGATCATTTTACCAGTTATAAAATCAAATTGAAACTGTAACTAAATCAATAGCAATTAAACAACTCTTTGTCCTCCTTTTGAGAAATTGACTAACTTCCCCATTTTTAATCTAATGTCCAACAGCGTAATTTTCGGTTTCCTTACATTTATCTTGATAGAATGTCTTGTTCCTCCCTTATCTATCGCTCTAATGCTATGAATATGTGAATGCACTTTTATAATCGCAGAACACGGAGAAGTACTTCATATGACAGTTCGGCAATGTATATCTTTAAGAATATTATAGGAAGAGCAAAGAAGTGTTCAACTAACCATCACGGCATCTTCCTTATAACCAACTAGCTTTAATCATCATCATAATAATCCACAACAGATTCAACATTTTATTATGCATATTAATTCTATGTTTCTGCAGCACTTGTAAAATGGAATAAATATTTCAATATGGGAAATTTTCACTATGAAAAGATGGGGAATGTGGGTTTTCTGAGATATGAGTTATATCTGGTAAAACTATATATAAGTTTGAGAGATATGATAAGAGCACTCACACAGATTTTTGAGCTAAATTGAGATTTACATTAATATGATTTTTGTAAATATTTTTTACTTCTAGGTGTACCTGCTGGATGCGAGAAATCACGGTGACAGTGAGTGGTCGGATGAATTCAACTTCGATATAAATTCTGACGATTTGGTTCACTTCATGGATACAATGAACATTTCCAAAGCTGTTTTATTGGGACACAATATGGGTGGAGTAACAGCAATTAGGACAGCGCTTAAAAAGGTATACTTTAAAAATTTAAATCTCCACAGAATTTCTTATTACGACACTAAACCAAGACAAGCGTACTAAGACTACCTAATAATTTTAAACGAAGAAGTACTTAGGAAAATTTAATGTATGAAAACCCAACAACCCAACATTACGATTATGAATTTAATTCTGAACTTAGATAAGAACTCTAGGAATTGACGTTTAAAACGTTCTTTAAAACTGATGCTCATGTGGCAGCAGAGAGGTTAAGAGACAGTTTTGCGATTGTAGACGTTTTCTGGTGCTTGGCTGAAAGTACCAAATACTAGTCGTCATTGGTCATTGTGGTTCTCGAGCAACATTGTCTTAGTTTCCTGGATACTGCACCGCTGTTTTTAAACTGATTCCACAAATTAGAGATGACACTTGGCATTACATCAAGTTCTCAAGCAACCTGAGCTTGGGACTAGCCCTACCTTAAGGCCTGCCTACCCACGATTCTCCATCTCGTACCTTCGTCTAAATGATGTGTTCTCATTTCATCTAAAAAACAGCAGAAAACAACAAGATTATTCAAGAAAGACGATAAAAATTACTTCTGTATTGCGCAGCGTAATGAACTGAGCAGCTAGACGCGGACTTTTGTACTTCTTGCTGGCGTAGTGACAGCCCCAGGAATACGTGAACTAATCTCTGTGCCACCAGCATCACAGTGATATTTAGTGGAAACCAGCTGTCCAGGTTTTGTGTGGTATTTTAAGAAATATGTGGGAAAATGTTTTCCATCTCTTAATTTTGTCCACCAGTGCAATATGTTAATATCTACATTAACGATTTCAGAAAGAGAGAGTTGAGATGCTCATAGCAGAAGATACATTAGTGAGGAAATTTCCCCAACCTGTCTTGGATATGATAATCACGCAATTAACAATGGCACAACAAGCTGACGAGCAAATGCCGTCAGATGTAAGTGAAGATGACGCCAAAAAATTCATCTTTGAATTCATTTACAGTCATATACCTGACGAAGTTGTAAGTATTTTGCTCATTTTGCAAGATTTAATTATAAATAATAAATTGCAATCCTATTTCAGTTTATAATTAAAACACAAGGAAATAAAGAAATCTGCTATTTTGTATTACAGAAAGCTGTAATGAAAGAGCGTGACATAGACGAGCAAAGACGCCTTGTTTCATTGAGACGCAACCCGGATGGTCGTTATGGTTTCAGATCCAATCTCAAGGTTATACTGAACGCACTGAAAAATACAGAGACATTAATGACGGAGCCAACTGGCGTCTATGAAGGACCAGCCTGCTTCATTTATGGAGAACATTCCCCATTTTCTGTGTAAGCATTACTTTCATTCAAAAGACATTACTAACAATCAGTTAATCTTTAGTTGAGGATACGTATACGAGGATTATCTGCCTATGGGAAGAAAGATATCGTGAAGGATTTTCTAAAGGAAACTAGCTCGTATTCACGCTACACATGGGGAAAAACACGAAAAGCAACCATGCAGCCATCCGATTCGTCTAAGTTTGAACGCCAAACGCACTTCCCATACACAGCAGTCTTTAATCACTATCAGATATTTCCAGACTCGAATTTTCTGTCCAGCATGTTTGGAACAACTATCCAGCATATTTTGCTTGGAAGTCATTTAATTTTTCCCTACGACTGTCCTCGGGAGCTTTAGGAATCTCGGAAGCTAAGATAGTATTTGCTCCACAAATGGGTATAGATACCCGAAACCGTCACAGATACTCGTATTCTTGGTATGAATCGGCATTCTCAGGAAAGTACAACAGAGATCTTTACGTTTTCTAGCAAACAACTTTCTCACTTCCAGATATGTCATGCTTTTATATGCCACTATTGTTTAGATATTATTAGATTACTTTCTTTAAATTTCGTCACGCTAGTGTCTTTTGTTATATTCCATGATCTAAGCAAGTTTCAACACATTCATATAAATAACTTTCTTTTTGTCCTCTTTTTTTTTTCACTTGGAAAGTTGGTTAACTCTTTGAAGGTGGTTACGTAAAGTTACCTAGCTTTTCTGTTGAATGTCTTACTCACTCGTGTGTCTTACTCACTCGTGTGACTCGTGTCTTACTCACTCGTGTACACTTGTGTCTTACTCACTCGTGTGAGTGGTTTTCAAGACTGACCGTTTCTGAAGTTTCCTTATAGCTCACTATGGCAATCAAGAAACATAAGCCAGTAGTTGATGCAGCAATTCGTCTTCAAGAAAATAAGCATCAGTCATCGAAGATAACATCACAACGATGCAGCATCAAGAAAAAGCCTGTAAGAACAGTATGGGAATCCAGCACATGGAAAGTTGCACTCTGCTTGAAAAAGAAAAAACTGTTTCCACGAGTACTATAGAGACTGATTTGTAGGGATGTGTTCTGTGGGCGGTGGTCAATGACACTAACCACTAAAAGTGGTCATTTTTTTCACGCGTCTTGGATAAAATATGTGTAATTGTCGCAAATAATTTCATTGTAACACCTGATATAGTAAATAAAACAAGAGTTTTGCTGTAAAAGTTAATTGTCTTTTTCTGCCCCTCAAAGGGTTAACTTTCGGACACTTGTGTTTACTATTTTGATGGCTTCCGCCGGCAGCCAGTAAGCTTGATTAGCTGTCTTTATGAGTTATAATCCCAGTATATTCGCCGATAGCTCACCTAGTTCATATTTGAATAGTGTGAGACTCACATTGAAAGACAAAGCTGACATGCTTAAATTTGGCTGATTTCCTGAAAACGATCGCATTGTCTATTCTACACAGAAGGCACTAACCGTTACGTTTTCTGCTTTGGATGTCAATATTTTAGTTTTTCTTCATGTCCTTGTTTGATTTCACTAGCAATATGTGATTTAATAGCTTAAATATTTTTAACACATACACGTAAAGATTACGATCAGCATTATAACAGCAATGCAAATAGCCTGCAAACACATTCATGTATCATTGCCAGATTTCTGTAGTGCATACTTGTGAAAGATCGACGTTATACAAACAGATTAGAGAAGATTTTTGAAATCAATTGGATGTATGTATGTGATAAAAAGGACATATACTGAAATAATATAAAATTTAGTACTTCTATATCATAAAACTCTTTGAGTTGCTGTGTAATTTAATATGTGATGAAACTCGATATGAACTTTTATCATCTCAGTAATTAGTTCTAAATAAATAATCAACAGCTTATGTATGATGAATTCTAATATACGTGCATTTTTGTATGTTTTGCGAATTTCTGTATGGTGTTGTATGGTATATTTAATTACGGCAGAGCACTCGAGGGCTATCGGAGAAGCCTTCACGGAGAACTTTCTAAGGGAAAATGGCTCTTACACACTTTATAAATGACGAAAATCACAAAAACGCCCATGCAGCCAGCCCATTCGCCGAGATTCGAACCTCAGACCGAACTACCAGTATTAAGCGACTTTATTGTTCGGCGGGCATTTGAGAATTTTGGTATATGTTAATATCTATATTTTTTCATATCTAAATTTTATTCATTTGATACAAATACAATACAATTTTGAGAATTTAACACAATTTCGAGGATTTTTTTCCTTTAAATTTAAAGTTACTGATATATGAAATTATGGCAATGAGAAATAAAAAAAGAGTAACAAGAAAGATTTGAAAATATAAGCAATTAAACTTTTATTAAAACTATAAAAGTAATAACGTTTATTTTCTGAAACTGTGGAGTATTTCAAAAATGATATGGCTCCAGACCTTTATTATATGGCAGATTCTTCCTTGTAAACAGAATTTATAAATCAGAAATATGCTTTCGTTTTTAAAGAGTCACAAAAAAAAAATCATTTCAATATAGTAATTCTCAAAATGTTTTCTACAATCTGGCATTTAAACATTCAACACCTAAATTAAAAATATTTTCTTATACAATATTTAAAATATACTTGTTTCCCAAATAATTATTATGTTTTTTCTTACAGTAAAAAGGATGAACAAGAGATAAGGCAATTTTTCCCAAAGGCCGCATTTGAAGCAATCAAAGATGCATCTCATGCAGTGCATATAGACTGCCCTCGTGAATTCACAGATGCAGTTTTGAAATTCCTATCAAGAGCGTGAAGTCGAAGTATTTGTTGTGTAAAGGCCAGCATTACCTTCTTTTTGTTTTCTGAAAGTAACTTAGAGATGGTTGCATGCTTTATTTTTAATGTAACAAAATATTTGATGCAATATAAAAGGAATTATTAAAATGTTTTCAAAAAAATTTCTTTTCTGCTGTACAGCAGAAGTCTATACATATAGAAAATTACAGCGAAAAATGATTTACATAATTATGATACTCCAAAAATTTTTAAAAACAAAATGATGTAATATTTTCGGTCCATAATGCCAACTTTTCCCTTCGCCGTTTTTTTTCGAAAATTTTCAGATATCATATTTCAAAGAAAATATTCATTTTGACCGATCTTGAATATATTTAAACGATGTAACGACATCTGTAAGTATAGACAGAATAAAGGACTATTTTTTCCAAAACGGATTGTAAAATAGATCTAAAATGGAATCAGAAGGGATTTTTTTCGTGACGTCTGTACGTATCTATGCATGTATCTCGCATAACTCAAAAACGATTAGCCGTAGAACCTTGAAATTTTGTATATAGGACTGCTATAATATTTAGTCGTGTACACCCTTTTTCAGTTGCAATCGGCCTAACCAAACACATATAATTATAAGTTATAAATATATATATACGAATTCCCACCCTCTTATCCAGCTAGGTGAGTTAATTTTTTTTTATTCTTATATGTTGGTAACTTGTGCATTTTTGCTTTAAAAATGATTGGATTATTTTGTTCTTTTGTTCTGATAAAGTTTTTCATGTGTTCAGTTAATCTGCATGTAATAGTTATAGAATTATCAACAATTTAAAAATTTAAATGAGGCTAGGCCTAACGAGGCTGCCATTTGTTTACATTTGAAACTTTTAGCAGAATAATGAATTAAGTCAAGTTGGTGCACCAACTTGAATGTCTTTTTGTTTAGTGGGGCCAAAAGTTAACTTCTAATTTTGTACACCGAAAAATTTGTCTTTCTGTCCGCTGGCCGAATTGCTTATTTTCCCCTAGAAACTCTAATTTTAATAGTAAAAATTATTTTTTAACTGTATTTGGTGTTTTAGGTTTTTCTTTATTTTAGACTTTTTAATGAACATGTTTTGAATTTTTATATATTTTTGCCTTGCCGCGACAACTAAATTGATGGAATGAGAAATAAATCTGATGAAACTCGAGGAAATAAGTTTAACTGAAATGCAGCAAAAAATGTGTGCAATTTTATATGTCGTACAAGGAAGTAATGTGGGGTCCACATTAGATTCTTTTAAGACAAGAATACCAGTAGTAGAGTAAATAAGATCGCTGAGCATCCATAGTTTCGTTCCATTTTAGGTTGATACACAGTGTTTCCTTTAAAATATTTTCTTCCCCTTCCGTGAAGACATTTATCCTAAGACCATCGCAAACTACGACATAGTCAATTAACTTGTAACGTATTTTAAGTTCTATGAGTTAAATGTTGCCATTCTTTTCCTTTGATTTACAACACATATATTTGCTCAGAGTAGTAAGTTCTGCAAATGTAAAGCCCACGCAAGAAGTTTAAAATACTAGTCATGTTCACTGCAATGCATGCCATTGTGAGTTTTCTTGCTGTAGGTGACTGCAATGCCGATCTAACTATGTATATTTGAAAAGGATGTAATGTTGATCTGGAATATTGCAAGACATCCGTGAGTTTTTGGCGTTAAGAAAACACCTTCCGCAGTTGGTTACAGAGCCATATGTCGCCATATGTCATGTTTAAAGCCATGTGTCGTGTTTAATGATTTCTATAGTCTATGTTACTTTACTGCTTACCGAAGTATTTCATGGTTTTTTTTTTCATGCGTGATGTAAATAGCTGTAGCTTTCCTTAAAGAGCTTTTCACTATAGCATTCCTCATATTAAGCAGATAGTCCTCTGTGCTTTATCAAGTTCATTTAAAACAAATGATAGATTTAAAGACTTGCATTCACTGTTAGTCATTCTGCTAAATTGAATCAAATGTAGAAAGTTGTAGTGACATGCTTCAATATTTTGTGTTTGTGCAAAAAATTATTTTCGTTCTTTCCTTGCCTCTATTCATTGCAGACAAAATTGTGTGTTCAGAATTCGAAAACTATGAAAATTACTATAAAAACATTATATGACACCTGTAAATAGTTGAAAAGCAGATGTCGCACCAGATTAAAAATGATTGTAGCAATGTAAGAAAAAATTTACCCTATTATCTCTGTTTTAAGTTCTGAAATAAATAAGTAAATAAATGTTGTGTAATTTTTTTTTAAGAAAATAAAAAATATATGAAAATGCTCATGATAATAATGTTGATTATTGTTTTGCCAGGATGTTAATGTCACAAGCCAACCACAGCAATCAGTCAAATGCATATTACTGAAAGGTTTTAATAAAAAAAAGTAGACAATTTCATTACATAGTTATATTATGAAATTTTTTAATACTAAAAGAAAGCTACCTTTTTTTCCTCCCTAAAATTATAATGATTTTTAGAGGCACAGAAATAAATATCTATGAAACACAAAAGAAAAGATTTGTATGTTGAAAGTACTGACGACCCAAAAAATAACTTCTTTTGACTGAAAATTTGTTTTTTAATTTCTTTAATATACTTCAAATAGTATCCTTCCAAAAAACTTTCTTCTAGAAAAGCAGTCAATAAAGCTAACATAGAAAATCTTCTCTCATCCTCTGTCCCCCTTTCATTAACCCTTTTCGGCACAGTCTATCCGGTATGGACAAACCTAAAAATTTCCTTCTGTACGCACGGAAAAATTGAATGAAAAAGGATTTATAGGTTACTATAAGTTACTCTGAACCTTCTTTATTTATAGTAGACGGCAGCTCAACACAAACCAGTCCATATATTTTAGCCATGTTTAGTATTTTAAGACCCTCATTTTTCAAAGAAATCTTCCAGGTTTTTTTAAGGTATAAAAAGAATTGTTTGAAAAGAAATTTCTATATTATTTTTTGGCTGTATGCTAATCTTCTTATTATATATTAGTTTTAAATTTTTACTGAGAGTCAGTATTCTTGGTTACAGCCGAAAACATCGCGGCAAAAACATCGCAGACGAAAACGTCGCGGAGGAAACAACGCAAGGAGAAAACGTCGTGCTACAAAACATCGTGGGAGAAAACATCGCAAAGAGAAAACATCGCAGTTCTAAAACATCGTGGTACAAAACATCGACGTCGAAAATAAAGCGGTTCAAAAACTTCGCAGTTTAAAAACATCGTCGTCGAAAATATCGTGGTAAAAAATAAAGTATCTACAAATCATCGCATGACGATTACATTGCAGACATACTTTTTTCAGGTTTTAATAATTGTAAATGGATATTCCCGTAATGATTTGTGAGCGCAAGATGGAAAGAAGGATAATTTTTACTTTCATATTTTTTTATTAATCAATAAATTTTTTGCTGAGAAAATAAAAGGAAACTTAAGCATAGAAAATTAATGCAACTTATAGCACTTAATAGAATTTTAAACCGACATAGTTAACTAACAAAGGCCATTAGTAAATCGTTTTTTATAAAGTTTTTACTGGTAATTTTTCATGAAAACTATAATCTATAAGTTGCATTTAATTTTCTAAGCTTAAGTTTCCTTCTTACTTTTTCAGCAAAAATTTATTAGTTAATAAAAAATGTGAAAGTAAAAATTCTCCTTCTTAACATCTTGCGCTCACAAATCATTATGGGAATATCCATTTACAATTATTAAAACCTGAAAAAGTATGTCTACGATGTTATCGTCATGCGATGATTTGTAGATACTTTATTTTTACCACGATATTTTAGACGACGATGTTTTTTAAAAACTGCGAAGTTTTTGAACCGCTTTATTTTCGACGGCGATATTTTGTACCGCGATGTTTTAGAACTGCGATGTTTTCTCTTTGCGATGTTTTCGCCCACGATGTTTTGTTGCACGACGTTTTCTCCTTGCGTTGTTTTCTCCGCGACGTTTTCGTCCGCGATGTTTTTGCCGCGATGTTATCGGCGGACACCGTATTCTTTGTTTCTCCGCATCTCATCAGTCAGTTTGTTGACAACAATGCTCGTTTCAGCACTTTTTTCGAAGCTGTATTCAATCAGTGTGCCACTTTGGGCACACCCACAGAATTAAAACGATAAGTGCTATCTTCACAAAATTTTACTTGTGTACTTCTCTAGGCCTAATTAGACTGCCTACCTTTTTTTTTTTTTTTTTTTTTTTAATCAAAACTCCGACTTTAAAAGGTAGCGTGCCGGAAAGGGTTAACTGAAAAACAGTTCTGTGAATCTGCTCATAATCAAAAAGCCGTATTGCTTATTGTTATCTACATAAAATTGTCAATGTAGGTAAATTATTGATCTATATATTGTTTTGTACAAACCTTTGCGACATTTGGCATTTCACGTATTACGTTGTGACATACCGCATTTACTACTCTTATAACGAACTTATTCCAACCTGGAATGCTGATTATCCGTGAAAACGATTCTGCTTTATTTTAGAAAAGTCTGACGATAAAAATATGCATATTGAATGTATATATATATAAATAGGCTTTTAAAACAATGTAAAAAATAATAATATATAATAATATATAATAACGCAGAATTACTTCGCGCCTAATGAAACGCATAAAGTGCGATTCTCGGTACAAAAATATTAAATAATGTGTTCATGAGTGAAACATAAAACGCTATACATTTCTTGTTGTTAATGCATACTAAACAAGTTATACGAAGGACTGGTTGAAAATTAAGGAAATTAAATTTTTATAAAGCAAGGTCATAATGCATCGTGTTCTTAAAGTCATCGTATCGCACAAAGGTGTCTCATACTGAGATTAGGCCCACTAGTAGCCGAGCGGCAAAGTCGCTGAACACTGGTAGTTTGGTCCGAGGCTCGAATTCCACGAACGGGCTGGCTGCATGTGCCTTTTCGTGGTTTTCCCCATGTGTAACGTGCATACGAGCCAATATCCCCCTACATGAAGGCATCCCTGCCCTTAGGCAGATAGCCCTCGAGGCTTTGACGTAATCACATAAATCAAACCATATTGGAATTCTATTCCCTACTTACAAGCAATGCATATTTCATATAGCAATCATTATGCTCATTATGTATTGAAAGTATAGCACAGCTAAGGTTCTATGAAAATGCTTCCTCATCTGAAGTCATCATCTCATGTTTAGCTTTTTAAGACCCTCATTTTTCAAAGAAATCTTCCAAATTTTTTTAGGGTATAAAAGGAATTGTTTGAAAAGAAATTTCTATGTTATTTTTTTTGGCTGTATGCTAAACTCCTTATTCAATATTAGTTTTAAATTTTTACCTTGACATCTTGTCTAAAATGAAACGGCGAATCCTAGTGTGCCCAGACCGGTCTGACCGATAATCTAAGACAACTGAGAGTCTGTATTCTTTGTTTTTCCGCATCTCATCGGTCAGTTCATTGACAACATTGCTCGTTTCAGCACTCTTTTCGAAGCTCTATTCAATTAGTGTGCCCACTTTGAGCACAACCACAGAATTAAACGATAAGTGCTATCTTCACAAATTTTACTTGTGTTCTCCTCTAGGTCTAATTAGACTGCCTACCTTTTTTTTTTTTTTTTTAAATCAAAACTCCAACTTTAAAAGGTAACGTGCCGGAAAGTGTTCAGAAAAAGAGTCATTACGGTAGTGGAGGAGTAATGTTCGGGCAGCCGGGCACCCTTGCATGTTTTTGACTACCTGCTGTGAAGTATAGAAAGGAGATCTTAGGACTATATGTGCGATGTTCTAGGCTTGAAGGTGGTCTTGAACTCCTGTTAGTAGACGACAACGCTCGTCTACATAGTGCTCAGCTGGTCGACAGTTACGTGGAACGTGGAAAGTGAGGCTATTTGCTGCATGGATTAGCCAGCCATATCTCTTAATCTTAATCCTATAGACAAAGTTTCTCTGGGAAATTCTTAGGAGGACAGTTTCATCTCGCCATCCATCTCAGGGAACCATCCAAGAGTTGAAAACTGCCTTGTTACAACAGTGGGATTGACTGTCACAGGGACTGCTCAGCTGCCTCCAGTCCAATATCTGTCTGGCTGTGAGAGGGGTTCTGCGCGACCTGTCTGGCTGTGAGAGAGGACCACAGCTCTATATTAGAATCAATTTCAGTTCGATATCACAACGTGGATTTTGGACATCCCTGCAGTATGAACTTTACTAATAATCTTGCGTACGTATGCCTTTTGAATGGTAAATTTGTTTCACTGTTATAAATGTATATCGATACCAAATTTTATTAAAACTTTTCCATAGTTTTACAGAAATTCGACACGTGTAGATTCTCTTAACTTTGTACACCACGCGAGAGTATTTCCTTTTTGTTCAGATTTGGGACACATTTTTCATTAAATACATGAAAACAGTTAAACACATTAAATACAAGTAACATGGGCTTCTTAAAAAACTTCACATCAATACCAATAGACCTTGTGACCAATAGACCTAGATATTTTTTGAATATAACAACCAACAGCCTGTTGAAAGAGCGAAGAGGAGAGCATAAATGACGCATTCAGAAGTGTGGAAAAGTAAGTCAAAAAGTTTTGGTTCTTAATACAAATCTTAATCCGTAATTGGATAAAAGGTGTCTGCATTGTAGCATTACTTAAGATCTTATGATGCGAATTAATTTTGAAATGACGCAATTTAGATTGATGTATTATAAATAGTTACTATTTTTAAGGCAGGAAGGGGAAATAAATATCCGAATTAAAATCAGAGTCGTAGCTAGGGTTTTCAGCGCCCAGGGACAACTGAAGATTTCGCCCCCCTACTGCTTGCCAAGGATGGAAAACATTTAATTCTAAAATATCGTAACATCAGTTTGGCGCCCCTTGGATTCTGCGCCCGGGGTCAGATGCCGCCCTCTAGCTACGCCCCTGATTAAAATGAAAAATAAAAGGGGCTACTGCAAAATTAATGTTAGTAGTTCGCTTTCACATATGTCTTACATACATGTGGAAACGATCTTGTATAAAAATGATGAAAACATCTTGAATTTCAATGAAACTTTGGAGCAATTTCTAACAGAATTGTTTTTTTAAAAAAGTATTAAATCTCAGTAAGCTTTTTAAAGATAAAACTTGTACAAATAAAATAGGTCTTTTAATTATTTCTATCTAAAATTCATCCAAAGAGATATGTCTAAAAAGGAATGAAATATTACCTAAGAATTAAGATGGCAGAAGAAAAGTTGCAAATACGGTATTACTAGAACAAAATTTTAAAAACAACATTGATATTTCGA